GCCCACCCCACCTCCAGCCCCTGCATATTATCTTACCATTTTATTTTTTCCAATGAATATTTCAAACCCTCCTAAATATTAAAATTCTCAATACCAAACCTATGCCGTGAACAGGCCCAGTCTTATAGTGGGGCCTAATGCAGAAGTGAGCATAAAGGTTCCCATCTTACATATTTAAACAGTTAATTATAGCTGAAGCTAGCTAACTAATTTCTTACTTGGCAGATACACCTTTAAAGTTACCTAGGAAATTGGTTTGAATTTACACTCTTCCACAGTGGTCTGTTCTTCAGTGAGCTACAATAAAACATGGAAGTTCAGGCTGCACATCCTGGGCCTGGAATCACACCTTCTGTCCTACCTGAAGCCTGGCCTGCCTCATATGGGGACCCCTAATGTGCATCTCAGTGCTTTGTCCCAGCTCCGTGTACCCCTCCACCTGCGCCTTGGCCTCTGGTGCCACAGCAGCTATACAGCCCAGCCTCAGGAGAATAGGTCAGCAAAGCACAGCCTTTGGTGAGGAATGCTGAGTTCTGTGCCCCTGCAGGAAGGCCAGCTTCCTTGGCCTGTGAGACTTCTTGCCCACAGTGCAGGATGAGTGGAAGAAGGCAAAGTCAGAGCTCTCTAAAGCATGAGCTCCAAGAAAAGGCCTCTCTTGCTCAGACTTGAGAGAAACTCCTGTGTGACCAACCATCAACCAAGCCAAAAAAATGTGCATTAATGATATAGTCTGCACAAGTCTGAGCACCATTAGTACTCTGTCTGAACTGCACAATGAAGGGGCATGAACTCTTTCAAGTGCTTAATCTGCTGCTTCCAACAAAGAGTTTACTTTATCCTGGGAAGTATGCATGGTCTCTAGTAGGTTTAAGAGCCAGAACTCAAATAGATAAGCGCTGCAAAGAAATGTGAAGGAAATTTAAAAAGTTAATGAAAACAGAATGAAATGTAAGTTTAGGGCAGGTGTGTGGTGTAGCAGTTAAGGTGTCTGTGTTGCATGTTGGGTGTCTGGTTCACAAAGCAGTGCCAGCTCCTGACTGCAGCTTCCTGCTGAGGCAGAGCCTGGGAGGCAGCAGGTGATGGCTCAAACATTTGGGTCCATGCCACCCATGGGGCAGATTTGGATTATGTTCTCGGCTGATCCAGTCTCAGCTGTTGTGGGCATTTGGGAAGTAAACCAGCAGACAGCAGCTCTCTTTCTGACTATCTCTCTGCCACTCAAATGAAAAGTAATTTTAAAAGATGATCTTAGTTTGGTGCAAAAAATTTGAAATCAGTGTATAGTTCTTTCATAATATGGATTTTTCCATGAACTGTTTGAAGGCCTCGTGTGTTTTTCTTTTTTGTTTTAATTTTTATTTTTCATGATACAATTCCTTAGGCTCAGGGATTTCTCCTTCTATCTTCCCCTTCTCCTCTAGCCTCCGCTATTTTTTTTCCCTTATATGATAACAACAGTATAGTCCTTCAACAACAGTCAATGTTGTGAATTTTTCCTGAAGAATTTGAGCTCCCATAAATAACTCGGGTATCAAAACTGTAAAAGGTAGCTGGAGAGAAAACTTTTGATGAGATTCAACATTGCTTCATGGTGAAAATTTGCAACAAATTAGGTATAGAAGAAACAGGCCTCAAAGTTGTAAAGGCTGTAGGTGGCAGAACAGCTGGTATCCTACTGAGTGGGGAAAAGCTGAAAGCATTTCCCCTCAGATCTGGAATAAGCCAAATATGTCTACTTTCACCAATGGCAAGATTTAACAAGAACAATTAGGCAAGGGAAGTAACAGACATCAACAGTGGAAAGGTGGAAGTCAAAATATCCCTGTTTGCAGAGAACATGATTCTTTTTTTTTTTTTAAAGATTTATTTTTATTATTTTTTATTGGAAAGGCGGATATACAGAGAGGAGAGACAGAGAAGAAGATCTTCTGTCTGATGATTCACTCCCCAAGTGAGCACAACGGCCGATACTATGCCAATCCGAAGCCAGGAACCTCTTCCGGGCCTCCCACACGGGTGCAGGGTCCCAAAGCTTTGGGCCGTCCTCGACTGCTTTCCCGGGCCACAGGCAGGGAGCTGGAAGGGAAGTGGGGCTGCCGGGATTAGAACCGGCGCCCATATGGGATCCCGGGCGTGCAAGGCAAGGACCTTAACCACTTGCGCCACCGCGCCGGGCCCAGAGAACATGATTCTTGTGTGGGAAAAAATATGAACACTCCGCAAAACAAGGTATTGGAGTTGATAAACCAATTCAGTAAAGTTGCAGGATACAAAATCAATGTTTAAAAACCAGTAGCAGGGCCTGGAGCAATGACCAACTGGCTAAATCCTCACTTTGCATATGCTGGGATCTCATCTGGGTGCCAGATGGTTCATATCCCATCCAGCTCCCTGCTTGTGGCCTTGGAGAGCAATGGAGGATGGCCCAAAGCCTTGGGACACTCTACCCGTGTGGGAGGCCTAGAGGAAGCTCCTGGCTTCAGATGGGCTCAGTGGCAGCCATTGCTGTCATTTGGAGAGTAAATCAATGGATGGAAGATATCTCTCCCTCTCTCTGTGTAAATCTGCTTTTCAAACAATGATAAATCTTAAAGAGAGAGAGAGAAATAAAGACACTTGCTGTACCAGCAGCACATCTACCACATCTGAGTTTTTAAGATCAACCAAGGTGTCCGTCACCAGATGAAAGGAAAGGACAATGTGATGTATGTGCACCATGGAATGCTATTCAGCTGCAAAGAGAGAATGAAATTCAATCATTAGTAGCAAAATAGATGGAACTTGACATCATGTTGAGTGAAATAAGCCGGATACAGAAAGACAAATACCACATGCTCTCTCCCCTGTATGTGGGGACTGAAGCTGGAGAAAAAAAAAAACATCTGAACACAGATTGTTAGTGACTATCGGCTGGGGGAGGGAGCGAGGGATAAAAGGAGTCTGCATAAAAATGAAATAGAGGAAACTGGGAGTGGTTCATTAATTGTGACAACTATACTAATATGAGTTGTAATAATAGGGGAAGTGGGACAAGAGATAAATGGGAACTCTGTTACACCTCACCACTTTTGTACATTTGAAACTATTCTGCAATTGCTTTGGGGGCACGGGGAGGGGAGTCTAGATGGCTGTCCTGTAGACATGGTGTGAGGGTGCCACTGCTGCTGTCTCCCCAGGATGGGCAAGGGAAGCAGAAGGATGAGCCAACGTGACTCCTGGAGCCACTGAAGAGTGGGGCCCTGCTGCCTGGGGTGCCCCAGGAGCGGCTAGGACTGCCCGGAGCTGTGGAACAAGACCTAGCCTTCTACCTACAGCTATTCCTCAGAGTTGAGGTCCTGGCTTGAGATATAAAGCAATTCCCATGGGGCCTGGCATGATGGCTCAGTTGGTTAATCTTCCCTTTGCAAGCACCAAGAGTCCATGTGGGCACTGATTCATATCCTGGCTGTTCCACTTCCCTTCCAGCTCCCAGCTTGTGGCCTGGGAAAGTAGTGAAGGATGGCCCGAGGCCTTGGGACCCTGCTACCATGTGAGAGACCTGGAAGAGACTCGTGGCTTCTAGCTTCAGATCACCTCAGCTTAAGCCATTGCAGCCAGTTTGGGGAGTGAACCAGCAGATGAAAGATCCTTCTCTTTGTCTCTTCTCTCTGTAAATCTACCTTTCCAATAGAAGCAAATAAATCTTAAAAACAAAAACAAAAACAAAACAGAACCAAAAAACTCCTGTCGTGGTCTTCCTTTCTGTTCACCCACATCCTGACTTCACATCGATAAGTTATGTCTACCTGGAGAAAGTATTTTTCAGATCAAATTCTCAAGGCCAAAGATCTGGTCAAGGAAACATGAAAGATGTGTGACAGTATACTAACTTGTTTTTGTTGTGTGTTTAGATGCTAATATTGGATTCTGCATTCTTGGCTCAGACCAGGGCTTTTATGCTGTTCTTCTTTGTCAACATTATTCCTTACTCATCCTTGGTGGTTGGTTATATAAGTTACTTTTTAGTAGTTTTCCTTTTTTTTTAAAGATTTATTTATTTTGGGCCCGGCGCGATGGCACAGTAGCTAAAGTCCTCGCCTTGCACGCCCGGGATCCCATATGGGCGCTGGTTCTAATCCCAGCAGCCCCACTTCCCTTCCGGCTCCCTGCCTGTGGCCTGGGAAAGCAGTCGAGGACCTCCCAAAACTTTGGGACCCTGCACCTGCGTGGGAAACCTGGAAGAGGCTCCTGGCTTCGGATCAGCATTAGCAATGGCCGTTGTGCTCACTTGGGGAGTAAATCATCGGATGGAAGATCTTCCTGTCTGTCTCTCCTCTCTGTATATCTGCCTTTCCAATAAAAATAAAAAATAAATCTTTAAAAAAAAAAGATTTATTGATTTTTATTGGAAAGTCAGATACGCAAAGAGGAGGAAAGACAGAGAGGAAGATCTTCCATCCCCTGGTTTACTCCCCAAGCTGCCACAATGGCCAGTGCTGAGCCAATCCGAAGCCAAGAGCCAGGGGCTTCTTCCAGGTTTCCCACATGGGTGCAGGATCCCAATGCTTTGGGCTGTCCTTAACTGTTTTGTTAGGCTACAAGCAGGGACTAGGATAGGAAGCGGGGCCACTGGGATTAGAACTGATGCCTATATGGGATTCCGGTGCATGCAAGGTGAGGACGTTAGCCATTAGGCTACTGTGCCAGGCCCAGTTTTCCTTTTTTTTTTTTTTAAAGGCTTATTTTTATTTGAAAGGTACATTTACAGAGAGAAGGAGAGACAGAGAGAGCTCTTCTGTCTGCTGGTTCACTCCCCAAATGGTTACAGTGGTCAGAGCTGAGCAAATCCTGAGCCAGGAGCTTCCTCCAGGTTTCCCACATGGGTGCAGGGTCCCAAGGCTTTGGGCCATCCTCGACTGTTTTCCCAGGCCACAAGCAGACAGTTGGATGGGAAGTGGAGCAGCTGGCAATAAAAACACAGAGGACAAACTCACTGATCAGCATGACTTAACCTTTCTTAGATGACTCAGCAGGTCCTGGAGGACCACATGAAACTGTAGCACTGTTATCGTGGACGTTATCTCCGGGGATGTGTAAGTATAGGCCAAAAGGTCCAAAGGGGAATTCAGCAGTGACTGGGAGATAGGACTTGACACTCCCAGCTCATTCCAGCTCTACGCAGTGTGCATTGGCTCAAAGCCACACATCACAATGATCCCAGTCCATCAAAGGAAACAGCACATTCCCAGGGCAATTATTGATAAAACTGGATTACACGTAAAGAAAGTTAAAAATAGCTCTTGCTCTTGAGACTTAACTAGAGTTCATGGTTCTTGCTCATGGTAGCTCAAAGAGTCCATCCCTGAGGTCTGGCCTTTTTTTTTTTTTTTTTTAAAGGTAAGATTCTATTAGTACATTTTAAGGGCATTATTGCCATTATCTAATTTTATCAAAGCCCGAACATTAGATTATAATTTCTGAATGAAGGCAAACACATCTATCGTTCTGTGGCTAATATATGCCAAGCTCTGCATTCGTCAGTAGGGATGCAATGTGACTATAATCCATGCCCCCGAGAACTGTGAATAATTCATCTGTAAAAACATTTCATTTTGCAATTTTCACAGCACTTCCAAAGCTGGTGTCGGAAATTAGCCTGGGTATAAGGTGACCCTGTCACAGAGCCTGCAACTCATTCAAAATGCAGAACAATACAGAGGGAAAAAAAATGTGACCGTCATTGTGATGACTTGCCATTGGTGTTTCTCCCTTAGGACACAGCCTAATGAATGTTTATGCATTTAAGATTCGAGGTTTTTCTTTAGCACCTTCAAGATTTTGGGTTATTCCATGTCTGCATAGAAGGGATGTTCATTTCAGTTTAATACCTGCCCCCCCCCCCCCGCAAGAGCTGAGAGCAATGCAGCAGCCCCTCAACCCATCAAGACAAAAGAGAACTGTCACAGCCCCCTGTCCTCGGCCAGTCTGGGTGCATGCGTATATGTTTCTGAGAGAGGAGAGGGACAAAGGCGGTAGCAGAGAACTGTGTCCCAGGATTCTCAAGATCCACGAGGAAGGGAAAGTTTTTCTGGGTCCCATTTTTCAGGAAGACTGGGAACAGACACCACCCCCTTGCTCCCCACCAGCTTCCTATAAACATGCTTATCAGGATGGTAGGACTTTAAATTTAGTACTGAGATTAAATCACAGCTCTTGAAGTAGGCTTTCTGCAGGACACAGGTTCCATTAATTCAGAAGGCAGCATGGGGAAAGCTATGTACTCCCTGTCTTAGGTGCACAAGGCACATAGTCTGTTAAGGATTTGCAGAGCTGGACCGTTTAAGTCTATGACAACAACATTTTGCAAAAGGCTTTGACTTGAGCCAGGGCAGAGCAAGTAAAGCTGCTAAGGGTGATGCCAGCATCCCATATGGGTGCCTGTTTGATTAGTTCTGGCTGTTCCACTTCCAGTCCTGCTCCCTGCTTATATGCCTGGGAACAGAAGCAGAAGATAACCCAAGTCCTTGATCCCCTGCACCCACGTGGATGACCCAGTGGAAGCTCCAGGCTCCTGGCTTCAGCCTGGCCCAGTCCTGTCCATTGCAGACATTTGGGGAATGATCTGTGGATAAAGGACCTCTCCTTCTGTCTCCTCTTTCCTTTCTCTGTGATTCTGCCTTTTAAATAATAATTTTTAAAAAGCTTTGACCATAGAACTCTTTTTTTCTAGTATCACCTACTAGTAGCTGCTGCTTCACCATGGTGTTCTAAGGGACAGGCTCTGAGAAATCCTGGGATCAGCCATCTCTGTCTCCTTGGATGTGATAATGTCTTCAAACAGACCCAAGTCTTTGGAGAAAAAGGTTAGTAGGGTTCAGTTCTTGGAGTTTAGGCCTATCAGCAGGTCCCAGGGCCATGCCTACCAGGCAGCAGGGCAGGGGCTTGGGTAATTGCCCACATTCAATGTCTTTGAAAACTAGATTGTCAGTTTCCTTACATTCTCTGTTCTACTGTGAAGAGAGAAAGAAAAAGCATGAGTGAAATCTAGAGATCATCTATAGGTGCCAGAGCTTCTGGTTGTGGCAGGCACTGATGGTTCCAAGTATGCCTGAGGAGCCAAACTGATGTGAGGGGCAGGTATCTGGCCTGGTTGGGATGCCAACACCATGTATCAGGGTGCCTGAGTTCCAGTCCCATCTCCTGTTCAGTTTCCTGCTCATGGCCACAGTTTCCTGGGAGGCCACAGGTGATGGCTCCAGTATTAGATACTTGCCCCCACCATGTGGAAGACCCAGCCTGTATTCCTGCCTCCTGGCTTTGGACTGGCCTAGCCCCAGCTGTCTCAGATATGTAGAGAGGACACCAGCAAATAGAATTTGTCTCTGTTTCTCTGACTTTAAAAATAGATTAAAATACAAATTTTAATGATTTGATATATATATATTTTATTTATTTGGGAGGGATAGAGACAGAGAGAGATCCCTTCCACTGGTCTACTCCCCAGATACCTGTAATAGCTAGAATAGGTCTAGACTGGAGCCAGGAGCCAGGGGTGAGGAGCCAGGGACCAGGCTGAATCTTGCATGTGGGTGGCAGGGCCCAACTTGTATAACTATCAGCTGCTGCCTCTAAGGGTACATATTAGCAAGAAGCTAGAATTGGGAGCTGAGCCAGATTCAATCCCAGGCACTACAGTATTAAATGGGGGGTGGGGGTGAGCGGGGACTGATGTTTGAGCCATTAGGCCAAATGTTTGTCTGAAATATATATATATATATACTCTATTTACTTCTATTGGAAAGGCAGATTTTGCAGAGAGGAGGGACAGAGAGAAATATCTTCATTCTGCTGGTTCACTCCTCAAATGGCCACAATGGCCAGAGCTGAGCTGATCCAAAGCCAGGACCCAGGAACTTCTTCTAGGTCTCTCAAGTGGTCACAGGCTTTGAGCCATATTTCTCTGCTTTCCCAGGCCACAAACCAGGAGCAGAGTAGCCAGGACACAAACCAGCACCCATTTTGGATCCCAGTGCTTACAAGGGGAGAATTAGCCAATTAAGCCATCAGGCTGAGCCCTCTGAAAGATATTTTCTAGAGGCTGGTGTTGTGGCAAAGTTTAAGTAGTCACCTGCAATGCCAACATCCCATCCTGACACCAGATTGAGTCCCAGCTATTCAACTTCCAATACAGCTCAAAAAGCCCAAAGCCTTGGGACCCTGTACCTCTACGGGAGATTTAGCAGAAGTTCCTGCCTCCTGGCTTTTTATCTGGCCCATCCCTAACTTTTGTGGCCATTTGGGGCCTGATCCAGTGGATGGAAGATCTTTCTTTCTGCCTCCCATCTCTGTAACGCCGCAGTTCACGTAAAAAAATGAAATTATTGAAAAATTTTCTATCAAAATCTCTCCATAGGGTAGTGCAGTTATTACTGAGCAGTGAATTATCCACTTTCAAGAAACTAATGAGAAGAACAGGGGCAAAGTCACAGAGTCCAAACTCCAGGTAAATTTGTTTCTAATGACAAAGATTAAATTATCTGTTTTTGATATTGAGCTCCAGAGGAGCCTTTAATATATATATATTTTTTCTTCTTCTTTTTAAGTATTGAATATGAGTCATGAATTCCTTTGGCACTGAGACTGGGAAAAGTGAACTGACAGGTACTATTCTGGCCTAAGTCCGTATCTTAGTGAAAGTCTCTTTTATGCCAGTTTTAAATAATATCCCTCATCATTTCATGAGGGCTTTGCCTAGGGCTAGGACAGGAACAATTGTAGGCTTCAGCTTCTTTTTATGCTGTTTGCATGTAAAGATTTCTTTACCTCCAAAGTGTGCTGTCCTCCCCACCCCATCCCCCTGCCCCCACGAATAGAAATTGGCTCTCCCACATTCTCAGCAACAGGGCATTAAAGAACCAAGAGATCCGCACTCTTTTCTCTGCAGAACTGCTGTGGAGTAGCAGACGGCAAATCCAAATGTTTTGCTCTGGAGACATATGGGCTGGGCCTCTGTGTTTCATAAAAGCCTCAATGAATATTAAGCCCTGAAGGATGCCATTCATGGCAGAATGAACATGTGGTACTAATCCCCTTCGCACCCAAATGGGCTCTCATTAGGCCAGAGAGCTCCTTGGAAAGTACTAGGGGGAAATTGCTATGTGACTGGGATTTCATTAGCCGTTCTTAATCAGAGTCATCATCTCGACCCGATGGAATCCCTCTTCAGCATGACTATCTCTTCAGCATTCTATTAGATTGTAGCATCAATTCTCATGGCAAATCCTGAAGGTGAGTGATCAGAGGGTTGTTCTTCCTCCCTTTCCTATATATTCCTTGGTCAGCATGAGCAGTGGGGGCAATCTTCCGGAGACAGAGATGAGGTATCTTGTCAAAGGATCCAGAGCACTTCCAAAACATGTTCCCTGATGAACTCGCAACAGCAAGGGAGGCAAAGTCCATGTTTTTAAGGTTTTTCAGGAAATGATTCTCCCCATGAATAGGAACAGGAGGTAGGAATCTGATTGGATTCGGCCTCACACGCAAAGTAGAATTTTATTTTTCTCTAACCCAATACTTTGGCCAGCTGGTAAGTCGCTGTTCCTGTCCCGGACAGGCCTGAAACTTTGCACTCCTTTTGAAAGAGAGAAGTACTGATAACTGAGTCATAAGGGTGTGCTCACTGCTCTTCAGAACAAGGAACTAGGTGTCTCAGGCTCCTTTCCAAGCACCACACTGTGCATGGCCTCCTAGGGATCTGTGAGGTCCCAGAGGCCACTGGTAAGTCCCCTGGGTTTACCCAGGGGTGGGGTGGCCTGGGAGAGCAGGTCAGTAAGACCAGAAGCCGCAGATCTTAAGGTTATCTGGTAGGGGAGGCTGCATTCAAGGGGCTAAAGGATTTCATTTCTTCAAGATTTGTTATATTTAATTGGAAGAGTTACAGAAATGTATATAGAGAGAAGGACACATACAGATCTTGCTTGCACCGGCATTCCCCTGGCAACAACCAGGGAAGAGCCAGACCACAGCCAGGAGCTTCATCTGGGTCTCCCATGGGGGTGCAAAGACCTAAACACTTGGGCCATCTTATGGTGTTTTCCCAGGCCATTATCATGAAGCTGGATCAGTAGTAGAACAGCCAGGACATGATCTGCTGCCTACAGGGGATGCCAACATCATAGGAGGCAGTGCCTTTACCAGTTACTCCAGAGCTGCACCTTTTTCACTATCTTTTAGAATCAAGCCTATATCTAATATTTAATATTCTTTAGTAATTTTTTAAAAAAAGATTCATTTATGTATATTGGAAAGTCAGATTTTACAGAGAGAAGGACAGTCAGTCAGATAGGAAGATCTTGTGTCTGCTGGTTCACTCCCCAAGTGTCTGCTAAGGCCAGAGCTGAGATGATCCGAAGCTAGGAGCCAGGAGCTTCCTCTGGGTCTCACACATGGACACAGGGTCCCAAGTCTTCAAGCTGTCCTCTATTGCTTTCCCAGGCTACAAGCAGGGAGTTGGATGGGAAGCGGAACAGCCAGGATACGAACCAGCATCCATATGGGATCCTAGCACATGCCAGGTGAGGACTTTAGCTACTAGGTTACTATGCTGATCCATGATTAAGTATTTTTATGCAAGTCATTTACTTTCATAAGTATTCCAATGCTTTTGTGAGGTTGATCTTGTTTCAGTTCATCTTGACTTTGGTATTGGATCAGAATCCATTTTAGAGTTGGTCTCCAAGTTTACCGTAAGCTCCATCCACACTACATATTACTGAGTGCACCTTCACCCTACCTGACACAATAATTGTACAAAATAACTGTTGCTGAGTTAATGTACAGACTGAAGTGTATTAACACTTTATTATCAGAAACTTTATTATTAGACAAAGAACTAATGCAAGAGCTATTACAATAGATTCCTTCTAAGATACCCTAGTTGGAATCAAACATGGAATCTCACTCTCCATGAATGTCAGCCTGTACCTGTACCTCATTTTCCCATTGACTGGACCCTGTCCAGAAATGAAGTTACCCCAAATAGTTACAGCTTGGGTGGCTGCTTCTTTACTTAGATGATTAGCTATTTCCCTTAAGCCCAAGAAAATAATTTTACCTTCAGCTGGGCATTGGCCTTCACCCTTGACTCTTAGGCTCCTGTGCAAGAGAGAGTCTTAAATTTAGTAATGTTCATTAACTCGGGGCTAAGGGATACCTGTTCTTCCCACACCCCCTACATTGACTTTGTTCTAAGAAGTCAGATGTGTAGATATTTGTTAGACAGAAACTGTAATTTCAGGTGCTTCTTTATCATGTTATTATCATCTATCTCATTTTTGTCCAAATGTTGCACCCAGTGGTAAGTATCAAATAGGAAACCATCCGTTTAGTATAAATATGAGATCTATCAGACTGGAAGCCTGACCCATCAGAATGGATGTTCAATTAATTTAAACGGATATCCAACCAATCAGAATGGATGCTTTAGTAATTCGAATGAAAAGAGAACCAACTAGAAAAAAAAAGGCAGCCAACCAACTAGAATGGACATTTGACCCATCAGAATGAATGTGTGTCCTAAGCAAGCAAATACCTGCTTCACACTTATCATGGAATTTTTCACCTGTCAGCTCTCCCCTCAATTAACTGGGGGCAAACTGAGGGCAGGGACCACAGGATGTGTATCTTTGTATCCTCCCAGTGGCCTTGCTGAGTTGGGTTTCATAATATGGGTTTAATGAATATCTGTTGGAGTGGACATTATTCACTTAGTGATGGCTCAGGAAGCATCCGTGGGTGGAAAGAGCGCAGTCTGCCCCTCTCTGATGAGGATAATTATAGAATTATACCATTAGAATATCACTAAACAAACAATGTTTTTGGATGACACACAGCTGATAAGAGAAATTGATGCTTTTAATGGCTTATCCTTCAATATGATCTTCTCAAGCTAGAAACATAATATATAATCACATTGGTTTCTTAAACACAAAAATGAATAGAGTACTTAGAGGAAGAATAACATATAAATACTAGGTAGGATATAAATGGAAGGTTACTGGCAAGGCCTAAAATATCCATGTCTTACAGCAAATAATATATGAAATTGTCCCAGATATTTTTTAAATAGTGAGGCCAGGGGCCAGGTGGCCTAACAGGCTAATCTTCCACTGGTGGTACCAGCATTCTGTATGGGTACCTGTTTGAGTCCCAGCTGCTCCCTTCCAATCCAGCTCCCTGCTAATGGCCTAGGAGTAGTGGAGGATGGCCCAAGGCCATCACATAGGATACCCAGAAGAAGCTCCTGATTCCTCGCTTTGGATTGGGCCAGCTCTGGCTGTTGTGGCCATTTGGGGAGTAAACCAACAAATGGAAAACCTCTCTCTTTCTCTCCTTTCCCGCCTTTCTCTAACTCTTTCCAGTAAAGATAATAAATCTTTAAGAGAGAGAGATAAAAAGAGATATTCGTGGGGGCTGATGGGTTGGAAAAAGTACGCTCTGACATGACAGTTATAGGTACCATTCATTCATTTGGCAAGATAGTTGAATGCCAGCTATTTGTCAAAAGTTCATCCTGGGCATGCTGGGGACACAGCAAGAAATTATCAATGTCTTTTAAAACTGCTCTCAAGTTCCAAGGGAGAAAAAAAAGCAGCACACAAACCATTTGATAAGAGACAGAACTTACTTGACAGCTGAGTCACCAGCCAGTGAACACAGTCACCATGAAGGACATCTTTGTCGCCCACTGGGACATCTGTGCTCCACAGATGGCCAAGGGCCAGAGCCCCTGAGGGGTTGGGCTGAAGTATCAACAAAGGTGGCCAGAGGCTGCTTTGCTCTCAATGTCTGGGGACTCTAAGCTCCTAGGTTCTTATAGGATACAATAAAGGGGGTGAAATAGCCCCAGCAGCGAATGCTACTGGTTTTGCTAGCTTTTGACAAGTAGAGGTCTCATTCACATTTAGTTTCCCTTCAGGCAAGTAAGATGGCTGACACTGTTTGCACTCTTGTTATGGAGGAGGAATTGGCATCAACCTAAACATTCTTATATTATTTTCAAAATTTGCCTAGAGAACGTAGACTCTCAAGGACATTATTTGTAGAGTCTTTGGGACTGGGGGGTTGTGCCTTTGACCCCTTGGATGAATAAACTACAGGTGAAGTGAATGATGCTGCGGGAATTGTGTGAGTCTGACTTGCTACCAAGAGGCCAGACAGATGACAAAAAGAATCCCAGAAGAGGACAGAAACAAAAGAATGTAGGAAAATGAAATGAAAGCCAGTGTCACTTGGATAAACAAGGGACTGTAGCAGCCAGCAGCCCATTGGCTGTGGTGCCCTCAGCTCTGTAAAGACTGAATGTCCACTCCGTAGAGCAAAATGCCTTGAATTGGGTATACTCAGTTACTACCACTAGAATCTCATTTCTGAATAACTTCTTGTTTCTACAAAATGCTACAAAATTCTAGTTAAAAAAAGTTTTTTTTTAATTTCATCTCAGATATGCAGAGAAGAGGAGAGACAGAGAGGAAGATCTTCCATCCGATCATTCACTCCCCAAGTGAGCGCAACAGGCCGATACTATGCCGATCCGAAGCCAGGAGCCTCTTCCGGGTCTCCCACGCGGGTGCAGGTTCCCAAAGCTTTGGGCTGTCCTCGACTGCTTTCCCAGGCCACAGGCAGGGAGCTGGAAGGGAAGCAGGGCTGCCGGGATTAGAACCGGCGCCCATATGGGATCCCGGGCGTGCAAGGCGAGGACCTTTAACCACTTGTGCCACCGCGCCGGGCCCAAAAATCTTTTTTTTTTTTTTTTTTTAGCAATTTACATTGTTTTTATTTTTCTGTGAGTACTCTTGAACACACAGTCCATGAACATCCTACCTCCTATTTTTTTTTTTAATTTATTTTTAACTTAGTGGTTACATTGTATTATGGGATACAGTTCCATAGGTACTGGGATTCCCTCCCATTCCTCCCCCCATGGTGGAATCCTCCACCCTGTTGTGAGACCTCAGTTCAAGATCAGTTGAGACACCTTCACCGCAAGCATATACCAAGCTTAGAGTGCAGCATCTTATTATCCAGATAAGTTCATCCGCTTCTTGGGGAGACCTTCCCTGGTCGGGTTAGAAGCGTCCGGTCCCAGGGACCCCAGCCGCCACATGGCAGCTGTGGGACAAAGCCCCTGGGCCTAAAAAAAAAAAAGAAATCTTCAAAAAAAGTCCCAATAGTATTCCTACTTGGTAGTACAGCAAAAACTGGGGAAGTGAAAATGAGGTAGAAATGTTTTTTAAAAAATTCCCATGAATTAACAAAATTTCCCTGAGGAAATTTAGGGACTTTAAAATTCCTGATTCTAGCTTTTCTTCTGAACGTTAAGTTCTTGTTCACAGAGAATGACAAAAGTTGCCAGCAGATGATGGGACTGACAGTTATTTTAGTAAGTACAAATTTTTAACAGAAGATTCCACTCATTTCTGGAGCTCCCTCTCCTCGCCCCCCCCCCCCCCCCCGGCCCAGCACCCAAGAAAGAGGATGAAAGTGGGGCACTGGTCTGTTCACACTTACTCAGAGACTGGCTGAAGCCAAGGTCAGAGATTTGCCCAAGGACTGGCTCTGGCAGAGTCCCAGCCTGTGCCAGAGGAATTCCTTCTTATCAAGGGTTAGATACTGTGACTTTGACCTGGGCTCTAGAAGCTAAACATTTGGTTAGCAGCTGCAGTGACCATGGCGCCCTGGGTCCCTGCAGGATCAGTAACCAAGTGATGCATTTCATCTTCAATGTAGTGTAGCACAGCACAGCAGCTCTGAAAGCCAACTCAAGGACCAGCTTAGCTGCATCTTCTGCCACTGTAGGATGGAGAATGGGGTATCTTATTTTTTTTTAAAAGATTGATTTATTTATTGGAAAGTCAGATATACAGAGGAGGAGAGACAGAGAGGAAGATCCTCCGACCGATGATTCACTCCCCAAGTGGGCGCAATGGCTGATGCTGTGCCGATCCGAAGCCAGGATCCATGAACTTCCTCCAGGTATATCCCATACGGGTGCAGGGTCCAAGGCTTTGGGCCGTCCTGGACTGCTTTCCCGCGCCACAGGCAGGGAGCTGGATGGGAAGTGGAGCTGCCAGGATTAGAACCAGAGCTCATATGGGTTCCCGGGGTGTTCAAGGCGAGGACTTTAGCCGCTAGGCCACACCACCAGGCCCTATCTGTTATCTTCTTCAGCTCACCATCCACATAGTTTTTCCTCTGGTTTCACAGAGTCCACTGGCTCCCAACTCTAACCTTTCAACAGGTGCCACCCAGCATGGCTGGGCCATTTAGATATTTATCACACCATTTACCATCCACACAAACTGGTCAACTTAAATAAATCAGTCTGCTACAGATTTACTCCAGTGGCACTTTGAGGCTGCCTTGGCACCACAGCCACACCACCTAATTTCATTTCTCCTTTGTGGAGACCGCCTGGAAGCGCCCTACCCTGGAAAGGTAATCGGCCGGTCAGTGGTTCTCAAACATTATCCATGGTTGTTTATCTCATGACTCCTTTATTCTCTTCAACATCTTTGTGGATTCCAAGAGTTTCTGTTGTGTGGTCTTTTACATTCTAGCCATGAAAATACAGGTGGCAGGAGAGTGAGAAAATCCCCAGTTGCCCTCCGGGGCCTCTCTTGGCTGCCCGTTTCCATCTTACTGGAACTTGGAAACACCTTTCCAGGAAGGTTCTCTCCTGCTAGTAATCGAAAAAGAATTGGACTGTGCCGCCAAGAAACCAAAGCAAGAGTCTAAGACGTTACACAATAATGAGTTAAACGGTTCCTAACAAGATCTCCCTGCCATTGGTCACCATAAGCAGAACCCAAACTCCAAGCACTTCTGCAGGGCCCAAGGATGTCAACGTGTTTTCACACCTTTCCCCACCAAGATCTCACTGGATTTTCTCTACACACCCCTAAAGCATCTTGTTTGCCGTCCACTTGGCAGATGTGCGGCCCGCCTTCATGGGTCACGGCGACAGAGGCGAGACTCAGGGCAAGTCTTTACTCTGAATTCCCAAGCTCCGTCGTAGCCTGACATCTTTATAGGGCACAGACTCAAGGCTCCTGCCTTCCTGCACCTACACGGCCCCGGGGAGCGGCCGCGCACGTGGGGCCGTTCCGGGGAGCACAGGCTTGGGGAAGGCTGTGGGGGAGCAGAGGCGGTGCTAGGCGGAGGTGGACAAGTCGAGGAACCCCTGCCTCGGCAACCGTCGCCGAGGAAAGCCGGACTCTCCGAAGTCCCAGCGGAAGAGCTGCGGGAACGCTGACGCTTGGGATGCCGAGGTCCTAGGTTTGACCTGCGCCCGCACACAAAGAAACACCGAAGTTCAGTTTCTGCACCGCGAGGAGCAGTTAGAAACGCATCCTCCCTTCCCAGCTGCAGCGGACACGCCCACTCCACCCCGTCAGCCAGCCTGGACTCCATCTTCACGTGCCCGGGCCGCGGGGACTGTCCGTGCCGGGCACGCCCGAGCTTCGCCCCCACCACCTCCCGAAAAACTACAGATCCCATGAAGCCCCAGGGGCGCGGCCGGTGATGACGACGCGTTCACGGATTGGTCGCGCGGGGCGGGGCGCGCAGGCTTTCTCCGAGGGGCGGTGCGGGGCGCGGGGCGGGACAAGTGGCGGCGCGGCGGGCACGCCCCCTCGCCCGCGGCCCCCTCCCCGTCTCTCCCCGCCGCCTCCTCGAAGCTCCCCGGTCAGAGGGCCCGAGCAAGAAGATGGCGAAGACGTACGATTATCTGTTCAAGCTGCTGCTCATCGGAGACTCGGGAGTGGGCAAGACCTGTCTCCTGTTCCGCTTCTCCGAGGACGCCTTCAACACCACCTTCATCTCCACCATTGGTGAGGGAGGGGGCTGCGGCCCGGGACCGGGGGTTGAGAAATAGAGGTGGAAGACGGGGGGTACGAAGGGGCCGGAGAGAGAGAGAGGACGGAGGGGCTTGGGAGCCCCAGGAGCGGCGACCCGGGCTCGGCTGGGCGGCCGGAGCAGGGCATGAGGGAGAGGGGCGCGCGAGGACGTGTGTTTTGGGGGTGAAGAGGGAACTCGGGGGCCAAGAAAGGGGAAGGGGAACCAGAGGAGCAAAGACTGGGGTTGGGGTGGTCCTGGGGCGACGTGGAGGCTGACAGGGAGGGTTCCAGAGGGACAAAGTGGGGAGGGGACACAGGAATCTCTAGGACAGAGAGAAACGGGCTGGCTAGTGGTTGTGCAAAAAAAAAAAAAAAAGGATTACAGGACAGGAAAGAGAAAGGAAATGTGAAGGAGCGAACGAGGGGCTGGGTTGAGGGGATGAGAGGGCTGGGAAATCCTGAGACGGAGGACGCGAGGGACAGAAGTGAGAAGGGAGCTGAGGGAAATGAATGAGAAGGAGAGGAGGCATGAGGGGACCCCTGGCTGCCGACCTCTGGACCGAGGTTGTGGGGCGGGAGCGGGGAGGAGGCAGAGGGAAACTGCAGGTAGGAGAGTTCTGGGTGAGGGGGAAAGAAGGAGCGGGATGAGGAGAGTCCTGTGTGGCCAGAAAGGAAAAGGGAAAGCAGCTGTAGGCAGTGGAGAAAGGTTAGGCAGAGAGAGGGCTCCAGGGAGAAGGGTGCGGGACTTTCCCCAGTTCCTGGGCCCGCTGCTGACCATGTTCAAGTGCAGGAGAAAGCAAAAGGGGGAAAAAAGTGACTAACGATGGGATCATGTCTGTGGAGCATTCTGTGTGAACGCGTGTGCAGGGGAGTGCTGGCTTTGGGGAGTGATGTGGCCAGGAAAATAGGGTTCACCCCTTTGCTGCTATCTCCTGAGAGAGTTCTCAGGTTCTTACCAACTGGGGGACTTGGTGTGTGGGACAGCCTCTCAGCCTGAGAACTGGTCTTGCATCTTTCTTGCCACCCTCTATTTTGTTTTGGGTTTACGGCTGACTTTTTGAATAAATGTACCCATACTCACTCCGGTTACCTGCAATGGAATCAAGATGATTAAATCGTGGCCGAGGGGTGGCCTCCCTACCTTCTTATAGGAAGATTCCTATTTGAATAAAAAGATCTCTGGTTTATCCTAAAGTGAAGAGCAAGGCGGAGTGGGTCTGAAGTGGCCTGAAGAAGTGCCCTTACCATCATTTCCCTAGTTAAAAAGCTGCAGTTAGTGAAGCACCTTAAGAATCTCCGTTTTGGGCTGCCTAGAAGATGTTTCTGGCTTATGAAAGTGGCTCATTTAGGCATCTCTTAAATGGTTCTGCCACTATTTCTCCCCATGAATTTCTGGATTGGGAAATAATGGAAAAGTAGTGCTAGTTGGTAAATTGTGTGGCCTGTAACACCCCCTGGGTGCCATGCTGACTGGGCTAAAGGAAGTTTGAGTTGCAAGCTCTTGGCAGTCCGTTTTGAGTGGAACTTTTTTTTTTTCCTGAGGAAGCAGATTTTAAATGTTATTGCAAGTATATAACTAAGAGATCTGGTGGGAGCTGACCTGGTGACTGGAAGGTGTTGAGTTTTCACTCTGGTACTTGTGTCGAAGTCCCACCTGATTGATTTCCACTGCCAAACATGTTCTGCAGTGCAGATGGGAAGGACCATTTTTCCACGGTGAGCAGGTGGCCTTTTGTCCTCTGGCTGTGTGACCCTCCAGAAGCAGTGTCCTGCCCTGAGCCTGGGCAGATTTCATGGAGCCCCTTCCCACAGAGCAACTTGGACGAGTTAGGCTTGCTTAGAATAGTTTCATCAGTTTTCTCTCTCCCCACCCCTCTCTTCATTTTGCTCCCGCATTTCCTTTAAGGGTGTTGTCTTCATTTCAAAATAGCAACTTTTAGACATGGCTTTTCATTCTGAAGGATTAGAGTCTTTGTTGAGCAGATTTTTTTAAGTTGATGAGTGAAGCAAGGTTCTCTGGAACATGGCAGCTGTGCAGGCATGCACCCCAGCAGCCTCTGACAGTGGAGGGGGCAAGGTAGGCATTCGCTGGGGGTGAGTCTCATGGGAAGGAGGCTGTGAGCCACGTCCTCATTTGATGTGGAGGAGGGGAAAGCCCACGGCCCTCGTTGAGTCCCAGAGCCCTGACAGGAAGTGGTGACTTGCTGCCTTCAAAGAGCAGAAAAATTTATACACCTGAAATGCAGCCTTGAACTTGATATTAAACTGGGAAAGAGCTGAGTGTTAAGATCCTTCCAGTGAAAATTCTTCCCCCCAATGGCACTCAGAGTCTTGGGCATACTCACATCACTAGCAGCCAAATCTTCACCCCAGCCCCTCACACCAGCCGCAGGTGGTGTGCAACCCTCTGGTGACCGTTGGTGGTCCATTTCTTTTCCAGAGCCTTTCTGGCTGGGTTCTGACAAGGACTTCCGTAGCCTTGCTGGCCACACTTGACAAGCTCCTCCCTGTCTCAGGAAACATCCCCTTGGTCACAGGAAAGGCCCATTTCTTCACACCTGTGGCTGGTGTGTGTGTTGTGGTAGATAGATGTGCAAGTCTGTCTCTTGCCACAAAGATACATCAGACTTAATTTTACATTGTCAATATTTAAGTCATTGTTAAAGTCAGCCATCTTTAGATGCTGTTTTGATGGGTGTTCTGTCATCATGAAAGGAAAGAGACATTTCGTCATTTGATTCAAGTTACACTCGTTTCACGCTTTGTTGGCATGATTCTCTGAGATGCTGCTCTCTTCGCTGGGGTTTTAGCTCCCTTCATTGCCTTTCTGCTCATTGGTGTGGTAGAAGGTAGATTTTTCTCTCATCTGACTTCTTGTGGGATCTTCCAGGAGAAATCAGACAGATAATCCTTGTTCACTGTGGAGTTATGGATGCTTTATCCTATTGAAATTATAGGCTCTGTGTCTAGCACCAACCAATCTTTCCATTTGAATGTTTGGAAAATTAAAATTTGTTGACTGACTGAAAAAAAAGACCACTGCTTATAAACTAATAGTCGGTCAATGCAGTTAGTTCTGTGATGTATTTCTAATGGTGTATGAATATGTGTCAGCACTGATACAAGGGCATCCTGGCGTTTTGAAACGGCCCTGTACTGAGCAAGGTGCAAGAGGAGCAAAAAGAGATAACGCAGCCCTGTCTTCTGACAGGATCTTTCCCTTTGCTCGCTCTCTCCTGCCCTGCCCCCTTCTTCCTGTTAGGTATTTCCTGAGTGGTTTCATTATTTGGTAGAGTCATAGTTTGACAGCACAGGAAGTGTTGGCAGTTAGCTCCCTATGTTCCGTCCCAGTTTTATAGATGAGGAAAATGAAAGTTTAGTTGACCCTCAGAAATCACCTAATTGGCCAGTTGCCTCAATCTGAACATAGATTGTTCCATGTACTAAAATGTCACATTGGACATCTTTATGTAGATGTAGTTAGCCTTGTGTCAACTACAAATTAATTAAGTTGAAAAAGTCACACTGCTAGTTACAGTAGAGCCTGAAGAGGAGCCCCAAAGCCAAGTGTGTATGACTTTCACAATGTCGCTGCTACTGTTTCTAATCAGTGTGGTCATCTTCATTAATCCGTGCCCTCGCTTTTTCCAGGGAAGAATTAGATACCGCCCATCTGTCTTTAGGTAGGGAAAGTCAAGATGGTCCCACTTTAGTCAAATCTGTTTAGGGAAATATGGGAGTCCCTTAAAAAGTGCATGGAAAATGGATTTGAAAGAAGACTTTATTTTAATACAAAAAAGATTTTGAAATTGGTGGTTTTTTGGTGAACTTTGGGACCCTCTCACATACGCGTTACTGCAATGATCTGAGTCCCATAGGGATTGGTGCTGGAAGAACTCAGCACTTAGTTGTCCTTTGCCCTTTATTCCTGTGTCTGCAGTGTCAGGTAAGGAGCTCAAAGTGCATCCTGCCATGGAGATTCCTTGCATGTGTAGGACCACCGTGAAATCACGGATGGCTGTTGTCACAGATTACTCTTACAAAGACTTGGAGACATTTTATTCTGAAATATTCGATTATTTTTTCTTGATTTCATGTTCTTTAGAGTCAAAGTTGTACAGTGCAGTTCATGGACCAAATAATGTGACCTATAGCCTGTTTTTGTGCAGTCCGCAGGCTCAAAATGTTTTTTGGTTTTTTTTTTTTAAGAAACATTTTTTAAAGCCGTTTGAAAAACAAAGCACTGAAGAATATGCAGCAGAGATCATATGTATCCCACAAAGCTTAAAAACTATTTACTTTCTGGTCTTTTGTTAAAAAAAGTTTGCTGACCCTTGCTTAAAATTGAAAACTGTTTTGAATTGGTAGGATTTCAAAGCTTTTATCAAAACTTATTGACTGAAAAAAATAAACTTTTGTCATATTTACATTCTTATCCAAGATGATATCAACATTTGGCTGAGAATAATCCAGATATGAGGAGCAAGCTGAATTTAGTTTTGGTAGTTTGTTTTCCTTGGTTTCCTTCAACTTCTCAAAAATATGCAACGAACATATGAGTTGAGATTGAACACACCGTACATGGAGGCTTGTTTGCATGTCATTGTGTTCTTTCAAAGCTGTCAGTGCACTTTTCATCTCAGTGACGGCTTGGATAATGACAACAGTTCAGAAAAAAAAAAACCCTGAAATGCAATACTTCATGATAGAGAATTCACCTCAGCTCCTCAGTTAGTGTTATAGAATGAAAAAAAGGCATTCTGCACCCATAGGGTGGGCATGGGGAAACTGAGTCTCGGTTCTGCCTGGAGATTCATGTCCTTTCATAAAGAGCTTCACAGCAGGCAAGTCTGGGAGAAGGTTCCTTGTCTACTGCTGCTTCCTACAGGGCTGCTTGGCTCCAGAGAGGGACACCAGAGGGGAATGGCTTTGGATAGCATTGTTGAGAGGAAAGCAAGTTCTTTGGATACATGCAGCACTTGCTTCCTCAACTG